GGGAAGATATAAATGTTATAAAATAAAGCGCTGTAACTCTAAAAAGACTAGAAATCTGCTGCTGTAAACAATGTTACTGAATGTTTTAGGCTTCTAGAGAACTTTTTAATAGCTTTCACATTTTTAAAAGGTTTTATTTATTTGAGAGAGAAAAAATATGAGTGGGGGTAGGAGCAGAGGGAGAGGGAGAAGCAGACTCCACGCTGAGTGGGGAGCCTGATGTGGGGCTCAATCCCAGGACCCTGAGATTACGACCTAAGCCAAAGGCAGATGCTTAACTAACTTAGCCACCCAGGTGCCCCAATAGCTTTGACATTTTAAAAGGTATCATAAACTTTTCCTTCTTCCCTGCTAACCTTGGGCTTTTTCTCCTATATATTTCTGTATATCACACTTTATTTTTCATTAAACAAATATTTATTGAATGTTTACTCCGTCCTGGGTTATGCTGCTTAGCAGAAAGACTATGCCAGCAAGATCAGACATACCCCAAAGATCTAGAACATATGATATTTGAAGCATCTATGCATTACTGAGGTGACTTTCTTATTTTTAAACATGTAGAAAATACAGAGAAGAACAGCAATGTAACAAACAGTTGTATATCCATCTGTGTTCATATGTCTGATTTTCCGATCAGACTGTTAGTTCTTTGAGGGCAGTGATGCTTTCATCATCTTGTATCTTGTATGCTTAATGTAGAACTTGGCACATACTGGGCACTCAATGTTTACTGAAAAGACGATTCAGCAAAAAAATATGGCACAACTTGAAGTTTATTTTTATTTAATTAATATCATGTCCTTTTCCCACATTTCCTTTAAAGTCTCTAAAATAATCATGGCACTAACCTCTTCTGTTACAATGTGACATTCCCAATTAACTCCTATGGACATTCACTGTTTTATCTGACTTAAATGCACCTTTTGACTACTCAGATACTTGTATTTACTTCTCTGTTTGCACTTGGTTGTCTGGCTCTACCATGTCTGCTGGTCCTTGTGTCTTCTCGTTACATTGCACTGATAACCTGGGAAGCACTGCAGAAGGGAATGTGTGCTAAGTAAGGGATCTCTACAATAACATGCTTTCCTCCATCAACAAAGAGATTTAGCAAGGTGTTAAAGCAGGAGGAAGACAAGGCCATTTCAGTTAATTTTTCTAGAACTGACTTTAGGTCCTGCTAAAGGAGCCTTTGTCTTAAACATTAAACTACCTTTATAGGAAAGGGAGAGAATGAGACAGGGAGGGAAGAGGAAGTGAGGGAGACAGAAGGACACCATGTGGAAATAAAGCCAGCTACATTTCCTACTGAATGGAAAGGAATCTCCAAATTAATCTGCTGATGGTATCAGCAGGCAGGCAGGAATTTAACACTGAGGCATGAACCTAAAATGGACAAACGGCACTAATCTGCTAAGCCTCAAGAAAAACCAAGTCATTAATTTTCTTTTTGATGAATTGTAAATGAACAATGATAAAAATACCTACTAAAACAGTTAAAACCAAAACCAAACATCTGTATTTTCTGTAACAGTTGAGCTGTGTAATAGATAAATATCTTTAAAGGTGAAATGCCCAGGGTCTAGAAAGGTATACACTAGCGCTCTTCTTCTGAAGGGCAATTTGGCAATACATATCAAAAACCTTTAGAGTTTTAAAAAACCCTTTGGCTCAACAATTTCAGGAATTTATCTACAAAATTTTACAGTAAGAAAATTCACTGTATTACCAGGTCAAACAGCAAACAACTGCAAACAATCTAAACGCCTACACATAAGGAATTTGTTAAAGGTTGATAGATCCTTACGAGGGAATATTCAAGTATAAAAATACTTATTAAGTATAAAATGACTTATGAAGAGTATTTTTTCATAAGGATTTATCAACCTTTGACAAAGAGGAGAATAAATTGTCTGTTAAATTATTTTTTGGTTGCAGAACTCTTTTTATCCCCAAATGATATCTACTTACAACCTAATATAAAGAGAAAAAAACAACAGCAACTGCAACAAAGATGCTCTTTCGAAAGGGAGGATGGGGAACCTGGAACTCATCCTACTCCTAGGAACTTTATGGCTTCAAGGAACATTTTGAATACCACTACTCTTCAAGAACATTTACTGTGGAAAAAAAGATCAAGATTATAAAATGACTGCATTTTTGAAAAAAGAAATTATACATATGTTTATATTCATATATTATACAATGAAGAATGGTTAGAAAGATATACATCAAATGCAAACAGTGCTTATCTTTGAGTGGTGGGTTTATAGGTGATTTGCACTTTTTTATTGCTTGTATGCTTTTTTCCCTTAGATCTATAATGAGCATATATTTTCATTATAAGGAAAATAATATAGTTATTTTTAAAGTTAAATTTTAAAGTTGGATTCTTCTGTACAATAAGTTTTCAATATCCCTTTATTTCAGTTGGTATTTTAAAGTATTAACAATTCTTCAGGTGCTTGCTTAATTGGAGAGAGATGCCATTCATCTGACAATCGAGGCGTTATTAAAATCCAAGTAAATGGGCTCTTACTGGCAAGTTTCTCTGCATCCTTATTACAGATTTTCCTTATGCTAAGTTGTGGGTACCTCCCTATGCTCTGATTCCTGGGCCTTTTCACATGCTGTTCAATTTCTGAGAAACGTTCATCTCCCCAATTGTCAAACAGTTCCATCATTCTCAGTCATCCTATCTTGGAGACACCTTCCCTGACTATGCTAAGTATTCTCAATCATTGCACTGTTTCTCTCCTAGCACTTAACACAATTTGAATTATATATTTGTTTACTTATTTATTACCTGTCTCACCAACAAAACTGAAGGCAGAGACTATGCCTATTATTTGCCAACATATTACACAATGCCGGCATAATACCTAGCAATTGGCTATAAATATTTATTGACTGACTGACCAAATGTTTGCTAAAATTTGAATTTGGAGACTCACGGAGACTCAATGGTTTAAAAAAAAAACCAAAACAACAACAACAAAAAAACAACAAAACCTTTCCCACACTCTTGCCTAAATGGGTTGGCAAGATCCTGTTTTCAATACTGTTTAAATTTCTGATAACTTCAGTAATAGCCCAGAGTCACAATAATTGGGCACATTTTATAATGGCTTTATCTATTGATCCACAACTTACAAGAAGCCCTAGGTCTGCAGAGATGCCTGCTTCGGGACTTCTGATCCTTTCTCATGTATCTTTTGGAGAATAAACTTTCTATAATCCAGAATGAGTAATTGCTGCTTCAACATCTTCTAAGGCTTCTTCCAGCCCCACTATTACACTAATGAAGGCTAATCTCAATTTACTGATATATATTACATGTCATTCCATACATATACTGATGTGCAGCCATTGAATTATAATAAACCTTTTTGGTCAGGAATGTGAACAGTGTGAACTACTATTTTGGGAAAAATTTAAATAACAGGGGCTCCAACAATGGCAAACCAACAGTCTCAGAAGAGCTCTTGCAACTAAATGGAGAACTTAAAAACACCAAAACAAACAGTGTAAGAAAAATAACCATAGAAGGTGCCAAATAAGCATAGAGACATAATATTTTAAATACTTCCAAATATTTGGTTTCAAAGCATAAATGGAGCATGTGGGCTTTCCACATCTTTTCCTGCCAAGTCTCAGGAAAAACTGACCATACTGCAGTCATCTAAAACAGCTGTTAGGACTGATCTTCAAATATTTGGTTTCAAAATATAGACCTATTTGCACTTTAAAACTCAGATGCCTGCATACTCCCACTATAGCACTGCACTGAGATAATCCTCTCAAAGTAGGCTGCTGGCAAAAACAGATCTGTATTCATGGTGAGCACTGCTTCAAATGGACACAGCAAAATGTTAGCCTAAGTCCTCAAGTCAGCTGTCAGAAAGATAATTTACCCTGGCACCAAAATACTTTGTTTCTTTCTTTCTTTCTTTTCTTTTTTTTTTAAAGGCAGGGGCTCAATTTCACTCATCATTTAAGGTTAAAGAAAAAGCACAAATGTGAAATGTTAAGATTCTAGAAACAAGGAAAAAAGTTTATGTCCACTTTGCTTACAACTATTGCCTTCCTTAAACTAAGTTTCTTGTTTAGCATATTGTTCTTGTGGGTACTTAGATATAAACTATCAAATCTGCCTCACTTTGGGCTGCTGTAAGGTCTAAGCCACAGGAAAGGATCGTAGTCCAGAAAAAAACCTTTCCCACACTGTGGTATAATTGTATTTATTTTCTAGGACTGTATACAAGCATGGATATCCAGTTGTAGTCCTACATTTCTGACAGTTATCTAATACTATAACACTCTAGGGATGATAGGGGATACACATAGCATCTTTTGCTCTTCTGAGCAGACATCAATTCTGATCGATCAATTTTAACTGGCCTGATTTATCTTATCTTTTCTTTAAGATGGCAGTCATTGTAAATGCCTATAACTTTATGAACAATATTGTTTTATTTCCCTTCAAATCTTATCATTTAAACCTTGTTCCTGAAAGAAGCACTTGAAAAAAAAAAGGCAGGTGATAGTATAACTGGGAAAAGGAACTATATGTGGCACCTTACAAAATAATAATCCATAGTTAACTAATTGGAATTAAAAATTTAAAAATCTGGGGCGCCTGGGTGGCTCAGTCGTTGAGCCTCTGCCTTCAGCTCAGGTCATGATCCCGGGGTCATGGGATCGAGCCCTGCATCGGGCTCCCTGCTCAGCGGGAAGCCTGCTTCTCCCTCTCCGACTCCTCCTGCTTGTGTTTCCTCTCTCGCTGTCTATCTGTCAGATAAATAAATAAAATCTAAAAAAAGAAAAAAAAAATTTAAAAATCTATAAAAAACAAAAATAATGAAACAGTCCAACTTCATCCTATTTTTCTGGTGTTACACAAATGGAAAGCAAGCATTCCTCCCTTGCAGGCAGCTCTAGGAAGGCCCCAGACCAATTAAATTATAGGTAGATAAGAATATCCTTCTCAACCTTACCTCTTTATGCACCTTCCAACTGTCTACCGTCACATTGAAGAGAGCTTTGAGGGCCTCAATGGCACAGTCTGTCTCCTGAGGTGAGAGAGGAGGTCCATTATGGTCTATGGCCGATTCATATTCATCGGTCCACTTGATGCTAAAGGCACTTTCCAAGATCTGGGTTAGCAGCTGTAGTCCCTGGAGCTCATAGCGCAATTGTGACCTGATGTCAGTGTGCAAAAGTGACAGGAGGAAGAGCAAGCGCAAGTCAAAGCACTTAATGTCATTGATAAACTTTCGGTCCTTGCACTTTCTCAGGAGGTTACAGAGCTTTGCAGCAAGGTTAAGTTCCAGGCTGAGCTGCTGTGCCATCTGACTGTTGAACACTATGTTACACAGACATTTTAATGACTCCACAATAACTGGGAACTCTGACACCTTCTCCAAAGAATCATCCGACTCATTTAGCTTGGCTAATCGCAGCAGTATCTGCATATTTTCCTTGGTTGTTACAGGAACTAAAACCTTTTTGTCTCTGGAGAGAATGCGGAGAACTTCCAGGCAGGACACTTGACATGTTGTTGGGATGTCCTTTACAAGGACTTTAAATATGCCTTCACAGAGTTTCTGAAAAACAAGAACGAGTATGCAAAAATCATTACTTGGCTTAAATGATTTAAAACAGAATACTTCTCGGGGGGCGGAGCAAGATGGCGGAGGAGTAGGAGACCTGGATTTCGTCTCCTCTCAGGAATTCAGCTGGATAGGGATTGAACCATTCTGATCACCTACAAACTCAACAGGAGATCGAAGAAAAGAAGAGCAACAACTCTCTCATCAGAAAAGCGACCACTTTCTGGAAGGTAGGACGTGCGGGGAAGTG